GGCCAAAACCCACACTGCTTCTTTCTCCCAGAAGAAAGAGACCTGAAGAGGATGTCTAGGAAAGGATAACTACAAATGTTCCAGTCTTACTTTAATGCACAAATAAAAGGCTTGAATGATCAGCTGAGACTGCTTCAATAATGTGGTGACTGCTTGTAATCTCTTGCTGCATACATAGAGAGAGCTAATAAATAGTTAACTACCTCTTCCTCTCTTCTAGGACACATCAGGTCATGGGCATCACACTGTAAAAGCATTGTGAGGAACACCTCGACCTCATTACACAATCAAATGCATGGACTTTCCAAAAGAAATCATAGTGCATGCTTCTTCCCACAGTACAGCCAGGGAAGCACAGTCTTGCTGTGAAACAGAGAATTCCCTAGAGCACCTATGAAATGAGGAAAATGCAAAGGAGCTTGGTATAGGGCAGCTGGAAAAGACCACAAAATAATTACCAAAATCTCTGAAATACCATCAAAACCAAATCATCTTCTTCATAAAAATGTATAAGTACAAAGACTACAAGAATTTTAACATATGATTTCCTTCTTTACTTCAATATTTAATTGTTGAGAAATTCATCATAAATTCAGTAAGTTTTCTGGTAGTCTTTTCTTTATGCATTAAAAGCCAAATAACTCTGCCTGTAGTTCCACCCATCTGGATAGCTACACAGCAGAATGTGACTCTAAAATACAGTAATGAAAAGAGCAAACCCAATATACAATACTAAAACCAGCATTCTAGAAATGCCAGATATAAAAAAAATTAATTAAAAATATAATAATTAATTCCAATGTAATTCTTCACAAATTAATGCACTACACTAGTAGCATGACTAGTTATCTAAGGTGCCCTTGTTCTGCCAGCTAACCATACTGTGACCACAGTGCCCTTTGATCCTGTCACTGGCCACTCAAAGCTTGTAAGCATGTTTTCCATCTGGCTGATGATGATGGAATGAAATCATGCCCAACATGTTAAAACAGTCATTTGTTTGATTTGAGCTTCTGGCAGACCAAATAGTACCTTGCTCATCTTCTCCATTAAATTAGAGTCATCATTTGAGGTACCTTTCCTGACCCTCTCTTTCTGCCCCAGTTTAAGGACAAGGACCTTTACAGATCAAAATGTCACAGGGCTTTTGCAGAAGTAAAATGTAGGCTCTTGAAAGTTAACAATGCATTCAGTCAGATTTCCTGACTTTCATTTCACAACAAAGTTGGACAGCTACAAATGTTATGGAAATATCATCAAACAATGCAGCCACAAAGCTCCTGTTCAGTTTTGGAGTTACCAAAGCTGAGAAGATTTCAGTAAGAGATGAAATATCCTTTGTTCCCACACATACTAGCCACATCTTGCATAGTATCTCTAGCTGTTAAAATAGTGATGAAAGATCCTTGAAGGAAGTAATCTTACTCTTTTTTAAACAGATCTCATGCTGATTTAATTTTTATTTCCCCAGATATTAGTAAAGGAGTTATTGCAATGCAAATGTGTATATACATAGTATATACAGAATATCCTAGAGCAGGTCACTGCCAGAAGATTTACACTACTGCCCATCTCTGTAGGAACTTAAACCTTGCTGTCTAAACATGGCAAGCATGTGATATCTAAACTAGGCTGCATGGAGGAGCTTCCTGCAACAAAAATCTATGAAAGCCAATTGCAAAATAAAGTGTCATAGGAAAACTTTTTTCTAGGTTGTGGTATGGATTTTCCTTAGTCAGTTGAATATCTGCATAATTCAAACAAAGCACACATAAAAAACATAGTTCCAAAACCTATAGGCAAACAGACAGCAAAAATGAAGCATTCTTGTTTCATACTGATGGCTGATGGTTCAATTTTCCTTCACAATTATTTAATTTTTTTAAAAGCTGTCAAGGACATTTGACAGACTGAAGCCAAGTATGAGGAACTGTAACCAGATCTGACTTATATGGGACTTACTGTCCTGATGTCTGCATACAAGCACTTTCTGAAAGGAAGAACAATAGAAACAAATGAACATCAAGCAAGTGGCTCTAATTTCACCTCTTCCCTCTGCCTAAAAGATCCCTTAATCCTTGTATTTATTATTTCTTCCTCACCGCATTTGATCCAAAAAACCTAGAAGTGGTTATACAGTAGTTCCAACATATTAAATAGATAATCCAAAAGTTTTAAGAAATAAAACAAAATAAAAGTACATTTAATATATGTTCAACTCCAGAAACTAACTTAATTCTTTCCATTTCTCAATGCTCTTTTTCAGTCTCTCTCCCTGTATATCCTCAAAGGACAATTAACACCCTTGCACTTATTTTCAGCTATCCTTGTTTAACCTTAGGGATGGGAGGAATTTGGTTCTTTCATCAGAATCAGAAACACAGACACTCTTCCAATGAAATTTCAAGTGTTCAAGACTTTCTCCAAGAGTCAAAAATTAATGTATACAGAAAGCTGCCTATTGAACTTTGCAATAAAAGGTTTAAAGGACAAATTGGACAATGGATGCAGTTTGTTCTTTATCTGTGATGATGTAAATCTAGAAAAACCCCAAATGAAACAAACTCTCAGGTTTCATTCATGTATGACTAATAAGAGTGTTCAATCAGCAAAACTTCTAGAAAAAAGGAGCCATGTTCTACTTGAAGAATCCTCTCTTCTACTTGAAGAAGCTTTTCTTCAGCCTGCACTATTCCATAATAAAGTTCAGGGAAGCCTCTGTATCCATCAGTTTCCTATATATGTGCTTACAGTTAAAGACTAAAACTAGAGAAAAGGTACTTCAGCCACAGGCTACTGATGCTTTAAGGCTTTATTTTCCCCTTTCTTTGGGATTCAGACTGCTGATGGTTACGGTGCCTTTGACCTGAACCAACTTGCTCTAAGCCGATTTGGCTGACACTACAGTTCCTTTATCAGTGAAATCTGAACTTCTGCTCCTGACATGTAGCAAGCATCACCTCAGCTCCATCTCTCCTCCACCAATACCTGATGCACAGCATAAAAGTCATAATATGTTTCCTACAGAAAATTTCATGAAAAAACATTCATATTTTCTCGTTCTGAAGGACCATATTAAGGAACAAGAATGAATATATTTTGCCTAGCTAAATGATTTCTAATAAGAATTGTAGAAAAAGAATAAGAAAATTAATTGCTTCCTAGTGCAAATGAGGAATTAGCAGCCACCTCAAGGCCTCTAACCTGCATCTGTATGTGATAGCTCTGCTTCTCCAAGGCTTTGATATTAAATTTAAAATTTTTTATGTATTTTAATAGCCATTTGAGATGAGGTGAGATTTTGGAAGTTCCACAGCTAGTTGATTGTAGGACATGACAGTACCCCCACCACAACATGCCATGTAAAATATTTCAAGAAATGGTGATTTGCCTTGCCTTGTGGTTTTGGATGCCTCAGACTGGATGATAGAAATATGAAGGGGGAGGGGAGAATATTCTCAATAATTTTCAATATTTTTGGCTTGGATAAGGCTATATTTTTACACTTTAAGGAAAAGATTCTTGAACACTTGGCACATAAAATCCTGGCCAGATTTTTCTTAGAGCTCAGCATTCAATTGTTCCTATTTACAGAACTTACAAACACATTTTCAGGTTTTGAAATAGCTCACATGTTTGTTCATCAGTGAAAGCTCTCCAAATTTCTGATCCTTAAAATTACCAAAATTCTGAATGAAAAATTTATTTGTGCTGTTTGAAAAACAATGGGGGAGGAAAGTTGCAAGCTAAACTCATTTTGGTTCCATGGTTATTTACTGAAATTTAATTTGAGCCAGAAATTTCAAAGCAGATCTCATTATTTTTAGTGGGGAAAAATGTAACAGTGTTCTACTGAGTTTCAAGCATATTCATTGGCGGTACATTCTAATATGACTGCTGATTCTAAATTATCTTCCCATCTATTTTACTTTACACTTAGTAGTACATCTAACTTGAAGAATGCAATCTGTTGCCTCGGTGTATTTGAATTAGACATTTCACATTTCTCCCTAGGGAGGACAACCTGGGGCTGAGATGCTGAGCATGGCCCAGCAATGTGAGCTTGCAGCCCAGAGAGCCAACTGCACCCTGGGCTGCACCCAAAAGCAGGGCAGGGAGGGGACTCTGCCCCTCTGCTCTGGTGAGACCCAGCCTGCAGTGCTGTGTGCAGCTCTGGGATCCCCAGGGTAGAGAAGAACATGGACCTGTTGAGGCAAGTGCAGAGGAGAACACAGGGATGATCTGAGGGCTGGAGCACCTCTCCTAAAAAAACAGTCTGGGGAAGAGAAGGGACCTTAGATCACCTTCCAGTACCTGGAGGGTGCCGAATACAGGGACTTTTTACAAGGATGTGTATTAATAGAACCAGGGGAAATGGCTTTAAACTGAAAGAGGGCGGATTTATAGTAGATATTAGGAAGAAATTCTTTATTGTGAGGGTGTTGAGGCAGGAACAAGTTGCCCAGAGAAGCTGTGGCTTTCCCAACCCCTGGCAGTGTTCAAGGCCAGGTTGGATGTAGGTCTGAACAACCTGGTCTAGTGGAAGATGTCCCTGCCCATGGCAGGGAGACTGAAACCAGATGATCTTTATGGTCTCTTCCAACCTAAACCATTCTATGAGATCATAAACATGCGATAAATGAATGGCATCATAGACAATTAAGTAATATTACAAGGTAGAGGAACACTGAATATATTCAGCTTCTAAGAGCATGGAAAAAATAAGCAACATTGGCCGGAATAATGAAGAGGTGAGAAAAAGAACCCTTTATGATCACTGATATTTACAGGGAATGTTCTCAAATACACAGCAAACAGTCCTAAATCAAAAATGTTAATTTCACTTCATTGCAGTATAAATGAACCTAGCCTCTCTCATTTTGGATCAGCTTAATACCTGAGTCTAATCAGTCAAAAACCCCTCAATTATCCATGGTTACTTCATTAATAATATGAAAATCATTCTATGACATATGGTGGGAGTTTATGTATTCCATTACCTGTAAAGCAAGGCCTCAGGTCCTGGAAATAGCTGTATCAACCATGAAACTTGCAAGTGATCCAACTGAAGTTGAAAAGAGCTCATTCCTTCCTCTGCTAAAGCCTATGCCAGATTTTCGAATATCCTGTGATGAAAGTGAGACCTGAATGCAAATAAGAAAAAGGCTTTTGTTTGTTTGTTTTCAAATCAAAGATAATAAACATTTCTATGTACCAAGAAAAGTGAAGTGCCTCTCACAGAAAATTTTGAAGCAGTAGAGAAAAGTATTTTATCTGGCAAATGGGTTGGCTGTAAACATTATTGAATTCTTTTGCAGTGCATGCCTTTTTCAATGATCATCTATGCCTACTAAACTTTAATTGTATGGTATTTTCCTCTGAAAAAAATTCATCACTAAGGAATTGAAAAAGCATTTGTTAGAAAAGAAGAAAAAGTGCTAGACAATTCATATTGTTTTGGTTTGCTCTTTAATCATTGCAATTGTTTTGATATTTTACTTCTACAGCACAAGCTTTCAGGTGTGAAAAAATCTTTTAAGCCTGTCATTGAATCTAGACAATGTTGCCTCTATCTTCCCCTTCTCTTGGGTACCCTGCCATAACCTCTGACTCCATGCAGTAAAGTTCATCTTTACTACAAATTCCCTCATCTGGTGTGAGGTCTCAACTGAACCCCAACCCTAATAACCTCTCCAATGTTTCAGATGCTCACAAAACTCCCTCAGGTACTGTGCCTGTAAATGGATACCATAAAATATAGCCTGCCTGCCTGAGGGAAATCTCTGTTTGCCAACCAAACCCTTGGTATTCCAATAAAATTTACAAACCAGGTATCAGTGAAAGTCATGCATGCTTCTGCAAGACTTTTTTGCACACAGGTGAATTTTATCTGTTTTTCGTGGTTTTTCCTTACCTCATCCTTGATCTTAGCTATAGCCTGTGTAGCCTACTTACATCTCAGCTTGTACCCAACCACCCTATTCAAAAGCTGCAGCTAAAATTATCCTTTTCATGCTGCTAAGACCCTGACAGACATTCATATTCAAATCAAACCCTTCATCCTCTGTTTCCAGTTCACAGTTCTTCTCTCAAATATAAGGCCCAGAAAAACACAACACATACTTACCGCTTGGCTTTCAATTTGCTGATTATTTTAAAACTTTCCGTCTCCCCATTATGCTCTTCAGGCTTTCATGTCTATTGTATTTTCTGTAGTGTTCTCAAGTTTAGTGGTCCATCTTGCTGACTGAATATAAACTCATGAGTTCACAAATTTATATTCTTCCATAAAAAAAACATGCTTGAAGTGGGGAGGTCGTGCCAGGAGAAGAGGAGTTTAACCACTACCTCTGTGAGTCACAACAAAATCTAGAAAATGAATCACAATTATTTTGTCACCGTTCATCACACTTCTGAACATTTTAACTCAAAAAGAGATACTTTTAACTCAAATTTTAGGTCATCTTACCTAAAAACATGGAGAAAATCCAAGTAACTTCAATCTAAGATGGTGTCAAAGTATAATGTTTTTGAAACAATGCAAATATTCTGCAAAACTGTTTAGTTGCAAGAAAAAAACTAAAACCTGTAAAACAGGTAAACAGTTAATTTTCTTTCAGAGTGTATTGTTGTTTTGTTTTCACTTCTGACTCAAAAAGCTACTGACTCTGGAAAGCCAAAAAGAGAGACAAAAAGTAAAATAATAATGCCCATCTTAGGCCTAATTTTATACTCCTCTGATTTCTTCTCCTATATCACTGAATTCAATTAGCTTACATTTATTTTCATTTAATCTATTTAATCTCTCAGTACTCATCTGTGACTGACACAAGGCACTGCTGCCATTACCCTGCAACTGCCGCCTGCTCGCCCACGCTTTTTATCACCAAAGGAGCTCATCCTTTCCATTTCCTACCCATCAACAGCCCAGACACCAAGGCAGAGATGGAAAAAAAAAAAAGATCAATTAAAAAAATCAGTTTTATGAAACTCCCCACCTGATAATGTGTGCTCTCAGACACAGACTTGTGTGTCACTGAGGCTCTCCCTGCTGCAGCTTCCCAGGGTTATCAAAACAGTGCTGAGCATCCAGAGATGCTGCCCATCATCATTTTCATGCTGAAAGCTGGGAGGATATCTTTTCCTTGACTATGCTTCACTTTAATTATCAGGTTGCAATTAACACCCTGCCACTCTTTTCTGTTTGCTTTGCTCCATTTCCTGCAAACTGATTAAAAAAGAGAGAGAGAATAAGGCTTCCAGAACCTTGGTTTATCCAATAACATGATTTTATATCTGAAAGAACATTTTCATCTTTTAATTCTTTTTCTAATTACTTTCTGTGCCCTGCATTCAGCATTTCCCAAAATTTGCCTATCAGTGACATAAAAAGATCATCTTTTTCATATTGCTAGCAGAGAGTCAGAGAGTTAAATCAATCTGAAATTATTCTAAACCTTCAACTCATTTACCCCAGCCTTATTTCATCCTCTTACTTCCAGATTCAGGATTTCTGTGTTACACTGTTGTTATTGAATGCCTAGGGTGAATAGTTCCAGATATTGAAAGAAGTTTAGGACTTAAGTAAAATTATGACTTATTATTAGGTTTTTACTGTAGAAAAAGAGAAAATCTTTAAAGATGTTATGCTGAAATCTTGAAAGTATTAACAAATGTTTTATCTAAGGATCAAACACCTTTTGAAGAATGATAGGTAAAGCACAGCAGCTCTGCTGGATTCAGCTTGCACAATTCTCCTTACTTAATGTCTTCTTCTTTTTTCCTCTATGTAGAAGGCTTGAAAATTATCAAAACCACAGGCATTGGGGCAATTTAATTCACTAAGTTTCTACAGTAGGATTCGGTTTTCAGAAGTCTACAAATCCCTGGGAATTTTTTCATAATTCTTAGCTTTATACATCACAGGCAAGATGCAACAGAATTGGAAGAAAAGTGTTACACAGCAAAAAAGGCCATATAAAAATCATAAAAGAAACCTAAAGATGTAATTCTGTGTGTGTGTGTACAGTAAATTCAATAAACAAATATTCTTTACATATGAAAAAACACGTTTTCCTAATATTCTGCCTGTATAGAAAAACAGAGTAGACTCCATAAACCAGCATGATACACCTGCTGACTCCCAGTACAGCAAGTCCTATTTCCCAACAAGGAAATGTTTCAGCAGATGAAAAAGCCTGTGTGGTTCTGAACTCCCAGGGACTTGCTGCATGGGTGAGATGTGCTGTCAGGGCACCAGCGACAGGGACCAGGCTGCAGCAGTCCTCCTGCAAACAGGTGCCTTTCCAGCTCGAGTCCTCAAGCACAAAGAAGTCAGAGTGGCCCCAATCTCCACAAGTCACTGTACTGTAAATTGGAAAACACCTTCTTCACTTGACCATTGAACTCTCCCTTCTTCAGAACAACCCTCTAAAGGAGATCATCTCTTATAAAGCAATATTCAAGGTACACATTAAACAGGGAAAAAAGCAAGAGTTATTATGCAGTGGTTGATCTGTACAGTCAATTCTCTCACATTACATGAACTGTACTAATGTGTAATTTAATTTTTGTAGAAGCCCTTCTCCAGTAGTTTATGACCTTTCCATAGTGCATAGTTAAGATAAAATTCATTTACTACAGTTCATTATCAGTAAGAATACAACACTCAAGAACAAAACACTTGTTTTGGTTATCCTCAATTGAACTTTGAGTAGCACCAGCTTCCTCCTGTTTGAAATAAAAATGTTACACTGGGTGGGGAGGTAATAGGCCCTCCCTTCTGCCTTGAATCCCCTCTTGCCATCTATGTAAATGTATATCCAACTGCAGTCACACTGCAAGCTTCCAAAAGCAATTCCATTTGCAGAGCACTCCAGCCAAAGCAAGGTTCCTCCTATCCTTTTTCCTCTCCATGAAGAAATGGCCACCTGTGGCAGTATCCTGTGCTCCTCCAGCCATGTTACCATTTCACAGCAAGCTAATAGGAGCAAGAGGAGGCTAACTGCCTGGAATAAGAGGATAAAGGTAATGGAGCAGAAACAGAATAGGAAATATGAGACATTTTAATGCTGTTGTAACTGCCTGCTTCTAGCAATTTTTGGCCCTATGATTGTCTCATCTAAGATTCAGACTTTTCTGAGTTAACCAAGCTGTATAACCCTGCACAAGGTGTTCATGTTCCTGTCCCTCTGGGGAGCACTGTTCTCTTTCTGAGAAAGACAAAGATAACCTTATGTCAGTGTGACAGAAACCTGGGGACTCAGCTGCATTTTAGCCAAAACCCCAGGTGAGATTAGGCTGAGTTTGAACCTCAAAGCAAGGGTAAATCTGAATTTGTATCCTCAGCTTATAGTGAAGCTCAATGCAGGCATCCAAAAATCAATGCACTAAAGCTAAAAGCTTAGTATGGAGTCCCCCAACCTGATTGCTCCTGATTTTTTTTCACTTCTTTTCTTTGACTCTGAGCAGTACTTTTCAATCAGTAACACACTGGTGTCACAGAAGGCTGTACATTCTCACAAACAACCCTGAGGACACTCATTAACCTGAGGAATTCATTTTAGATCTTGTCCATTATGCAAATGAGAGGTACAATTTGTTCTCCTTTTCTGTGTAGCATTATTGATTTACGTAACTCCAGGTTAGTCTTGACAACATACTTTTTAATCAGGAGAAGAAAACAAAATCAGGCGAGTTCAAATAAAAAGGAAAACTGAACCATAGCTTTTAATAAATTTAAAAAAAGTAGGCGAAACTGCAGCTAAAGGTGAGTATGAAAATTATATTGACCATACAATGTCTATTTGATGCCAATCAATGAAGTAAATTGCCTGGAATGGATGACAAAGTATTTATCATCCTTGGATTGATTACATAAGCAAAATATACTTATTTTGATACACCAAAAATGGATTGTTCCCTGGGGGTTTGATTCAATGACAGACTTCTAAATACTCCAAACACTATGCTTTCTAAAACCTGCGGCAACTGATCCTTCCCAACAGAATAGCTCTCAGCAGCCTGCTCGCAGATCTCAGAGCCAGGTGTGGCTTTGGTGCCACGGGGCAGAGGGAGTGAGGTTTCCAGCCACACCCACCACACAATCCTTTAGGACAGCTCCAGGCCCTGCACGTACCCTGGTACCCACCACGCTACTTCCCAGTTCTTAACCCATTTCCTTCAGATAACATGAGTAATAAGCTGAGTAACTTGCTAAAAATCACATATATAAAATCAGTTTTCCTTGCAGCTCGTGGAAAAGCTCACAGCAAGCCAAGAGCAAAGATAAATCATTTAAATGGAGACACCGATCGATGCAGTGATCGTAAACCTGCGGTACAAATGCTGGCATCTGAGTACGGCGTTTCATCAGGGGAACGCAGGCACAGCCCGGGACTTCTCCTTGCTGCTGCCCAAAGCAGGCAGGCAGGGACAGGGGGCAGACCAGACAATGTGGACAGGGCAAGAAGGAAGAACCCTTGAACATGAAAGTGTTGAGGAGCAGCTCAGTGAGAGGACAGGATTCGATACTTGCAAGAAGATCGGTTTTCCTCCTCTGAACACAAAAAGCACGTTCAAACTCCCCTTTGAATTTTGTGTCCTCACAGAAATGCAGTTCACAAAGGTGTCCTTTGTATGAGTGATTACAGAGGTGTTACTCTACATTCTCATCAGGATTTTTTACACTATCTATTAAGCACAGAATGTCCAGGATGACAGTGACCGTGAGCTTTCCTTAGGGACTAAATAAAAAAATAGGAAAATAAGACCACCTGCCAAAACAGACAAAAAGTCACCCACAAGCAAGAGCCTCAAAGGATTTTATATATTTTCTTGTACAAGATATGATCTCCCCAAAAATATTCTTGCTTTTTTCCCTTCCAATAAAGAGTGGATTTTGATTTTTTTTTTCATGGAGTATTTAGGAATCTTGCTGCAGATATTAGAGATTCAATTTCAGAGATTTAAACAGGAAAATACAAAAGCCTATTGGGGAACTATATGAAATAAGAAATAATCTGTACTGATATAAGCTCTAATATCCTCCTGAGTCCAGGTTACAGTTGTATTTCAAGCCTCCTTTTTACTCTCTATTAGCTTTCCTGCTCTGCCTGACAAAGAAGGGCACTAGAATGGGTAAATATGGGAACGTTGCACTTTTGTGGTTATGCAGCTGTGGTTTAAATAAAATTTCACAATAAGATAAGCAATGGAAAAGATCTGAGGCACTGTGAAATATCCATCTTTGGTGGTATTCTGAATTTGACTGGAAAATGAATCAGGTGACCTCCAGAGACCCTTCCATCATAAATTATTCTGTGGTTCTATGAACTCTGGGTTTTTGCAATCTAATAAAACAGTTGATTGAAGGGTTTCTATTTGACTGTAGCTTTGAACAATTACGTTTTAAACCAAGCAAACCTGACTGTGACCAACCACAGTGAACCAGGAGCACCTCTGGGACAGCTCAAGGCAGCAGCCCCTTCACATCCCAGCAAAAGAGCTCCCACCACCAAGAGGAGCTGTGCCCAGACACCCAAAGCTGCCACCTGCTCTCCTTCTGCCTGTTTCAGGTTGAAACATTTCTTTAAGCATACCTTTTCACCAGAACAACATAAAAATATTATAGTCCCCTTCAGTGCAAGTTTTGAAATGCATAAATTACTTTTTAACTCATTGGGGCTCTGAAATGTTTTTCAAAGCATTTTCTGTATAGTGTCAGTGGGAGCTCACTGAAGCTATCAGTTTAACAGTTCCTTTTGAGGGTTCGTATGTGAAGTGGTTGCTGGATCAGTTGAGTAATGAGCGTGGCAGCCCCGAAGGAAGACAGACAAAAGCTGCTACACACCCATCTGCCCTCAATGTGTGCCTCCAACCTGGCTGGCACCAAGCCCTGTGTGTCACTGGGGCTGATCTCCAGCAACAATCCCAGACAACACCATTCAGAGGGGGGAAAGGGCCAAGCTCACAGAGCCTTGTGTGTCACTGGGGCTGATCTCCAGCAGCCATCCCACACAGCACCATCCAGACAGGGGGAAAAGGGCCAAGCACACAGAGCCCTTCCCTTTGGCAGCATCCCCAGAAATGTTCTCCTGACGTTTCATGCACTGAGATGCTGGCAGGTTTGCAAGTGACAGATACTGAAGGACTCACCACTGTGACACAGTGCAATAGCAAAGAGCTGGACTAATAGGCCCCTAAACACCATCTGATTGCTTTGGCTAC